CACGAGCCTGTCTGTATTAGTGATTTTGAAGTTTTTGCAAAAGATTATTTACCAAAGGGCATATTCGATTATTACACTTCCGCATGCAGCGAACGACGAGCAGACAATCTCGGAATCAACTGCAGCTTTCAAACGGTAAGATTGCCATTTAAGAATTGTTTGAATTCGACTGTAGAATCAACAGAATGAACAGATCGTCACAATGGAATGTAAATAGCTTATCTTAGCGAGGAGACGTTGTTAACTTGAATGTTCAAAACAGAATTAACACGATTACTTAACAATCTGTCGTCCTATATTTATCTATGTATTCAATCTAACGGCCGTATTTGTCATAAATCATATGTATAGAAATTCCACGTAATGCAGCTTGTACATATATAATAAAGAATTAAAACAAATTAACTGCAAATTGCAAATTGACAAGAAATGAAGGTTGGAAGTGGCTTTGGAATCCTGAACAAAATGAGCCGTCGGCAAGCACCTAAAGCCCCGTTTACACTACAGTCAATTTATCGGCACAGCACGGCTAAAATGGGTACCTGTGCCCAATTTCACTAGTGGTCAAGCTACCAAAACAAAGGCCGGGCGCGGAATAAATGGGCACGGGTACCCATTTTAGCCTTGCCGTGCCAATAAATCGAGTGTAGTGTAAACGGGGCTTATATATATCCTAGTATGAATATTTGATCATCCGTCTATTGTCAACACTTCAAAAACTGATTAATGGTCTCGGAGAATGCTTTAAGGCCCCTTTACACTTGCGTTTTTTGCTGCGATTTTTGGCGTTTTTCATTTGTGGGAAATTCCAGAAATTTTGCCAAAAATCAAATGGAACATGGTTATTTCTGGACAATAATTTTGAAATGTTTTCATTATGACACTGGACATTCCGGAAACGCAATCTGAATTTTCTGCTAAAATGGAAAGTGCTCTTTAAGTGCCATTTTCCTCTTTGAATAGATATGAATGAGTAATTAGTTACGAATGATCTGATGTGTAAGAACTGCATGTTATTTTAATATCAGTGATTACTCATTTACATCTATTAAAAGAAGAAAATCGCACATAAAATCGCAGTAAAAAATTATCGGAACACGCAGATCCACAAAAAAGTTCGATTGCTAAACAGTTGTCGGAATGTGAACACGCCAATTACATGCTTAAGTTACACCACCTCTTTGACAACCTTTATGAACAGTAGCGTAGCCAACCTGACGATTTTGTCCCGCTATGTAAATTTTGAGTTATTATAATTATTCACTTCTTACGAAATTCATTTTTTTCACAGTCAATGAACACCAAAATATTAGCATAGCCGGACAAATCGTCAGGCTGGCTACGCTACTGTTTATGAAACCAAATTTAACCAATGACAATGATACCGCAAAGAAACCTGATACAATGCTCTCTCTTCTTATATATATATATATATATATATATATATATATATATATATATATATATATATATATATATATATATATATATATATATATATATATACACCAATTTGCAAAAACGTTGGCCGCAGATAGATAGATAGATAGATACTCGAAGTCTAATTAGAATTGCATATGATTACATTTGCATGGGATTTCAATCATATTACACAACATATGCAATTCTAATTAGATTTCGAGTATCTATCTATATATCTATCTGTGCCCAACGTTTTTGCAAACGGGTGTATATATATATATATATATATATTTGGTCTTTGGTCTTTGGTCTTTTGGTTTTAAGCATTTGGCATGAGCCACGGAGCGTTCAGCCTGGCTGCATCGTTCACGCTCTCGTGTATTTTACAAAATGCCATAGATCCAGACAAAATTGATGATTTATGGAGTAGGTGCAACATTTGACCACCTTTTAGAACGGCAATTTTTGTAAATTTTTGGCAGCTTCTCTCATGTTGAAGCAAACAAAATAGCTTGTCAATTGTTTTGGAAATTACCATGCTATTATTTTGATATTCGATTTCTAGTTACTGAGGGCCTTCGTCAGGAAAGTTCGTATGAAAATAAATAGGGGAGAATACATGTTTTGTATGGGAGGAAAAATAAGTGATAAAAATGGGCCAATAGAAAACAAAAAAAAATATGAATACATTATATTGTTAAAGAGACGCCTGATTGTGGGCTAGGAATAGCCCACAATGGCCAGGTCCAACAAGGAAGGAATGAGCGTAACAAGAGGAGCAGCATTTGTTTCATCCAACTCTCCTGAATTGTAATTCAAAACTTTTTAAAGAAATCCAGTTAGAGGTAAACAGATATATTATATAAGTAAATATTTTCGCAGATCCCATGCATCCATGGAAGAGTCATAAGGCTAAACTTTGTCAAGTCAAGTGATGAGGACCAAAAACAGCTAAGGAAATTCCTCAATGTTATGGAGATTAAGAAGGTAAGCATATGGGTTAAGGGGAATCCCTACAGTTAAAGTACAGTTCAACCACGTAAGTCATCCCCGTGATCCACGAGTGGAATTATTTCTTGTATCATGTCAGCAGTTTGCAAATTTGCCTTTAAACTGTTAGACCTGTTTTTCTAGCGTTTCTTTCTTCTCTTTTGAATTTGAAACTTTGAACATTTATTCAGCATAGCAAGGAATAAATCTCATTGGACTTTCACGAAATTCTGCATTATGGTACGCGCGGTAAGCTTTTCTTTATGAATATCTCGAAATCGTTATGCCTCCAAAATAGATATGAGAAAATTTCACTGATTGTCAGTGTACGTGAACAAATATGTATATTGTCGCTTAATTTCAAAATTTGGCAATAAAATGCAATTGAATATGGTTGCCATATCAACACTAACAGTTTTCCTAATTGTGTATATATTATACCCAGGTAAGGCCAGGTTGATCCGACTGCTCTTCCTTAAGTGTATTCAGTATAAATTAGGTTGACATTTAGGGTTATGAACTTATGTAAAAATATCTTTGATCAGATTTGTTTAGTTTCCTGAAATCTGTTATGCCATAATTCGTACAGAAATGATTAAATATAAATTAAATGCACGCGTCTGTGTATTTATAAAGGCTTTCCGCTCGCTTGCGCAATTCGTTATTTTAATTTCTGGGTGATGGTGACATCACAACATCCATATCACAATATGTACAAATATATATTTTATTAATGGCGTGCATGGCAGACAACCGCCAGGCCACGAACACATGAGTATTCCATCTGTGGCATTCATACAACGCCGGCCATACACGTGTAGTTATAAATAGTTATCTCTTATCGCTCCTCACACATAGACCTGTTAGCGAAAGACCACTTAACGAGAGAAAAAACAACAAGATAAACAGATTTTAATAATAAGTACATTATCGTTTTTTCAGGAAAAAAGCAAACAAGTATATTTATATCGATTTTTTATTTGGTTGTATACTTACTTGTGCAGTGTATTTAGACTTACATAAAGTCTTTCACATTTTAATTGCAAAATCAAAATGACGGACGTCGCTTGTCCCTCTAAAGGCGGTTTTCCACTAGCGATATATTTCGCGCGAAAGAATAAAGTCGCTTCGCTCGAAAAATAACGCTGGTGGAAAACCAGCTTTAAGTCAGGGCCTCGGCTTCGCCTCGTGAAATATCGACCGGACTCAGGTTCCCCAAACATAATTTTTCCTTCGGTCGACGGTGAATAAGTGTTACTTTAATTACTCATGCGAGGGTGAATACAATTCAAGATTAGCCTAGCCATGCCGGTTGAGTCGGATTTGGCATACTTACGAACAAAACGCATGCATATTAGCACGATAAAACCGAAAAAATATTTGGAGTGCCTCGTCGAGATCCTTTAGCATTCGTGCCTAGGTTTCGGCACGTATTTTTCGTGGATTGCAGATTTTTGATGTACACTGTCAATGACACAAATTTTAATCGTAGCTACGTCACGATATTAAGGAAAATGAACATAATGAAGTGGAAGCTTCAACAACATTAAAACGGTGTACTTTAATATCCCAATTGCTAATAGTTTGAAAAGCTCTAAATTTCCATTTTTAATGCAACCGTTTGTCAAAATCAGCCTTGCTTGACTTCCTGACTTTTATCCATTATTTTACAGTTTTGGCTTTCTGGCCTTTCTTAGATTCTCTAGGGATATTTAGTTTGTTTGCATAATAACATTCTGCCATTTTGTTTTGTCATGTAATAATTAATCTCATTATCGCAACCTCGTGAACCATTTTGTGTGAAACTGGATGCGCCTGATGATGTACAAAAAGTAAATGCGACCATTTCAATTCACCAAGTTCAACAACAAGAGAAAACAATGTTGTGATTTTGACGAATATGCTATGTTCAAGTCCAGATAAGATTTATTTTTCCACGAATCTCGTCTTTCATAATTAATTTCGATTATAGTTGTTTTATCTCCGCAGAAAAGTTCTGCATCTCGACTGTGTCAATGTTCATCAACGAAAGGATCCCTCAACGCCTCGTGAGCATAAGGTCTCTCATGAATTTTGTGATTGATCAGCCTCGACACAAAATTTTGAGCTTTGCGATCACCAAGTTTCTTCAAATTAACAGAGTTCCCTTTTGATATATTTCTCATTCGATCAAACCTGGAACCAAAAGGGTGTTCACCTTTAGTTAAGACGTAGAAAGCAATCATACCTGCTACCTGGACATCTGATTTCCTTTTATAACGACTTTTCTCATCTTTCTCAATGGCTTGAGCTACTTCCGATGGCATCCATCCAGGAGTACCTTTGGCGAATGTTACAACTGTTGTTTCATCGTCATTCAAAATACGGCTTATTCCAAAGTCTGCCAATTTCATGTGACCTTCGATATCAACCAGGACGTTTGAAGGTTTTAAATCTCTGTGCAATATTCCTTCACCATGAAGAAATTCAAGTCCTGATAGAATTTCCCTAATCATTCGTGGACCATGCTCTTGTAGATGTTCAATACTGCATGCATGAACAAGTTCCTCAAGTTTTCCTCGCAAAGATCAACAATAAGATACATGAACTCATTGCCAGAGTGAAAATAACGATATCACTATAAATGGACAGTTTTTCGTTTCAATGAGACTCATGATTTCCTTTTCGTTTTCAACTGTTTTGTCCTCACTTGGCACCAAAACTCTCTTAACAGCAACTTCACTTTCATCCTTCATGACACCAACATAGACACGTGAGCCACAACAACCGTCGCCAATTTTGAATTGATTCGTTGCGACAAAAGCCTGAATCGGTATTTCAGTCTATTGGAAAAAGAGATAGATATTAGATGCAGAGGGCAAAATCTGGTAATAAGTTATATTGTGCAAACGAATATTGAAAACTGTCTACGGAATCTAAATGCTCGTCTTCGCGGTGCGACAGCGTAGATCATGAACTCCATTTTCACCTTTATTATATACGCAAAACTGATTAAAACAACTTCATATATAATTATGTATTTCAAAAATTACCTTTTCTAACTGGTTGTGGTTCATTGTTTTCAACATCTCAATTTTCTCGCGATGTTTTATGGACCTCTTTAGAATAGTTTTTATTTCATCATGACCAATGTAAATACTCCATTCAAGAAGACTCATTTGCCTTCCCTCGACAAGAAATGTTCCAGCTCTCGAAACAACTATGTTCTTTTGCAAGAGGAGTTTCACCAAAGCAACTGAATTGTTCACAACAGCCATCCTCATGATGTCAGTGCCAAGAGCGCTGATATTACTTTTAGGAGTTATGTCAGCACCCTGTTCAATTAAATACTTGACAATTTCTAATTCACCTGTATCGACAGCGGCGTGTAGGACGGTCCAACCGTCAGTATATTTAGCATTTACATCAGCGCCATTTTCCACGAGGTGCTTTGTGATATCCAGGCTACCTTTAGTAACAGCAGTGTGCAGGACTGTCCACCCGTCTGTACTATTTCCATTTACATCAGCGCCATTTTCAACGAGGTATTTTACCATATCTAACGTACCTTTATTAACAGCACTGTGCAGGACTGTCCAGCTGTCAGAATTCTTACCATTTACATTAGCGCCATTTCTGACTAGATATTTTACCACATTTAACGTAGCTTTCGTAACGGCGCTGTGCAGCACTGTCCGTCCGTTCGTCGTCTTACCAATTACATCAGCGCCATTTTCAACCAGGTATTTTACTACATCCATCGTACTTTTAGTAACAGCGTAGTGCAACACTGTCCTACCGTAAATATTTTCGCCATTTACATCAGCGCCCTTTTCAACAAGATGTTTCACCATTTCTAGCGTACCTTTAGAAACAGCATAGTGCAAGACTGACCATCCGTCAATATACTTGCCATTTACATCAGCCCCCTTTCTAATGAGATATTTTACCGTTTCGTGTGCTCCTTTAGCAACAGCACTGTGCAGCACTGTCCATCCGCTACTATCCTTGCCATTTACATCAGCGCCATTTTCAACAAGGAAAATTACCATTTCTAGCGTACCTTCAGTAACAGCACTGTGAAGCACTCTCGATTCATCAGTATCCTTGCCATTGACGTCAGCCCCATGTTCAACAAGGTATTTTACCATATCTAGCTTACTTTCAGTAACAGCACTGTGTAGAACTGTCCGCCCGTCAATATCTGTGCTATTAACATCAGCGCCGTTTTCAACAAGGTATTTCACTATTTCTGGCTTACCTTTAGCAACAGCACTGTGCAGCACTGTTGACCCGTTAGTATTTTTGCTGTTAATGGCATTCACAGCAGCGCCTTTTTCAACAAGATATTTCACTATATCCAGCGTACCTTTAGTGACAGCAGTGTGCAGTATTGTCGACCCGTCAGTATTTTTACCTTTTACATCAGCCCCCTTTTCAACAAGATATTTTACCATTTCTAGTGTACCTTTGCTAACAGCATAGTGCAATACTGTCCATCCATCAGTATACTCGCCATTTACATCGGAGCCATTTTCAACAAGATATTTTATGATTTCTAGCTTACCTTCAGTAACTGCATTGTGCAGCACTGTCCACCTGTCAGTATTTTTACTTTTTACATCAGCGCCATTTTCAACAAGGTATTTTACCATTTCTAGCGTGCCTTGACTAACTGCAAAATGCAGCACTGTCTCCCCATTAGTATCCTTGCCATTTACATCAGCCCCATGTTCAACAAGATATTTTACCATATCTAGCTCACTTTCAGTAACAGCACTGTGTAGAACTGTCCGCCCGTGAATGTCCGTGCTATTTACATCAGCGCCGTTTTCAACAAGGTATTTTACTATTTCTGGCTTACCGTTAGCAACAGCACTGTGCAGCACTGTTAACCCGTTAGCATTTTTGCTGTTAATGGCATTCACAGCAGCGCCTTTTTCAACAAGATATTTCACTATTTCCGGCTTACCTTTAGCAACAGCAGTGTGTAGTACTGTCCTTCCGTCAGTATTTTTACCTTTTACATCAGCTCCCTTTTCAACAAGATATTTTGCCATTTCTAGCGTACCTTCGCTAACAGCATAGTGCAATACTGTCCATCCATCAGTATACTCGCCATTTACATCGGCGCCATTTTCAACAAGATATTTTATGATTTCTAGCTTACCTTCAGTAACAGCATTGTGCAGCACTGTCCACCCGTTAGTATCCTCTCCATTTACATCAGCACCATTTTCAACGAGATATTTTACCATTTCTAGCGTACCTTTACTAACTGCAAAATGCAGCACTGTTTCCCCATCAAAATCCTTTCCATTTACATTAGCGCCCTTTTGAACGAAATATTTCACAATTTCTAATGATCGAGACTGTATTGCACTCCGGAGAGCTCTACAATCATCTTGAAAATTATGTTCCGGGCCATATTGCACAAAATACTTAACAAGATCGAGTTAAACCAGTTCTTGTCGCGTTACAAAGAACTGTTTCACCATCATCGTTCTGGGAATAAATGTCTGCTCCATGGTCAACTAAATATTTAACAATTTTTTGATCTGCTGGAGTAAACTGAAAAGCACGCCAAAGAATTGTTTTCTTCCAACTATCTTTTTTGTTTGCGCCACATTCAACTTGCCTTCTTATTTCGTCCCAAAATTTCTGTTTTCCTTCTTCACAGACGTTTGTACTTCCACTTGCCTCTTGCTTTTCATCACTTTCTATATATGGGGGTATTAACATAATAAATTCGTACAAATTTGGTAGCGTTTTTTACGATCTTCCAGGACATCATTTTCAATGCAAACTTGGTAGTTATTTGTCAAACACAGTCTGAATATGACTTTTTATTCAGTACTTTCGTTTAATTTCATGGGTTTCTTATTTCCTCGACGGCCTTTAAATTTCAATGTAAATACGCAATTTTATTTATTACAAAAAAATGAGTTCAGTAATTGTATTTTGGTATAATTAATAATATTAATAGAGCGAAAAAGAGAACAATTAATGCCAAAATAATACCAGTGTTTACAAATTAAACCGAGCACGTAGCAGGAGTTGATTTGCTAACCACGAGTGTGATTTGGGCATCTATTATCCCCCAGTGGGCGCGGAGCGCCTGCGAGGGTACTAATTCCGATCGGAGATTAGGAATTACACCCGGAACCCGGGAGAACATAGCCGATTCCAAAGTCCATATTCTTTGTCATGGACGATCGACGTTGGGTGGTTTTGTAAGTTTTGCGCATGCGCGAGTAATGACTGTAATCTACAAACGTTTTGATTAGCTAAGACAGAAAGTTTGTATTTTAATGAGAACGTCAGCAATCTAACTTTCATTTCGTGAACTTTTTTGTAAACGCGTTTCATAAACTTTTTCATGACTTTGTGCAAAGGAAACAAAGAAGAAACAAGATGCATGAAACATGACAGATAGCAAAGATGAACATGGATACAGTCATGCACTCAAAAAAAGCCGAGTAAGAGAAATAACTTATAATCTACATGTTTATAAGTGATTTCAAAGGGTAAATGTTTACTTTGTTTATTTCGTATTTGTTTCGTAGTAAGGACGAGATTTATTTGTATACTTTTCGGCTTTTGTATGCAGTTTATTTGTTTAATTTTCAGCTTTGTATAACTTTCAGTTTTTTATGCAAACGAATAAAACCAGTGAAAGGCTATTTTCAAAAAGTGATTTGGATACTTTACAGGATAGCGTGATACTTTACGCGGGATATTGCGAGACTTTTCGAAAGCGTGAAAAAGTACGAGTCGTAGGCGAGCGTTTTTCTTACGCTTTCTGAAAGTCGAGAAACTATTTAGTATTTGTTTAATAAAATAAATACAATGGAACAATTGTAACTTTTCGTGCGGGATTTTCTCATTTTGAACGCCAACTAACCAATGAAATTGCGAGTTTCATTGCACTTATTATATAAAATTTCATACCGTTATGATATTTTTTGTTTTCAATGTTTTCTTCTTGAAGTTCCACTTCAATTCCTTTTTGTTCATTAACAACAGGCTTGGATTGTTTATTTCCCAACGCAGATATATCATCTAATTTCCCAGATATTCCTGTACGATTCTTTTCTGCCAAAGTTAAAGTTATGTCGCTCTCCTCACGCTGGGATATGTTGACATTATCATATTCCATGGATTCAGTCATTCTCATCTTATTTGGCGAAGCCGCCATCTTCGAGCAAAACGGCTATGCCTAAAACAATTCAGACTTCATATGAAAATAGCACGTTGCATGTGCGCCTTTCTAAAAAGCAAACTTCTATTTAATTTTGTAAACCCATAATAGAATTTTACTAGAAATACATACATTTACTAGAACTCAGGCAAAGCTAATGATTTATGAAATGACTGGAATGAGTCGAAAGCTCATAAATGTTTCTTTTTTGCAGAAACCAATACAGTCATAAAAGTGAAGTAAACATCGCCCGTTTTACCACGCCATTAAGCTGGCAATTTAGTCCTTATGTATTGTCATTGTTAACTGCAAACACACAGTAATATTCTAATAGGTCAACCATCTTGACATGTTCACAACAATTACGATTAAATGAAATTAACTTAAGCTGGGCTCTGAAGAGGAAATTATCCTCTTTTATTATATGGATAGGGGTATTTTATTGAGGACTAAAACACTCGTACAATTCATACGCCACTATGTGACATGTTTACGTGATGTCTATGTCATGTTTATGCCATGTAAATGTCGTGTTTATGTCATATAAATTAATGTCATACGGTATGTCATGTCTATGTCTGGGGGTCACATAACGATTTTCAAAAATTTTCGATTTGAATTCAGAAATATTAAAAGATAAATTTACAACTGAACTATTTGTCATTAGTTAGAATTACTTGTTCCCGACACTTTTACGATTAAATGGAGAACACGCTTAATTGGGGTTGTATATTGAAGCATTTTCAATCACCGTAACTACGTTCGCTATCGAATGACATCCGGCAGTCACACGGTTACGAATTTGCGAATATGAAACCCTAAATTTAGAGCCCCTACCTCAAGATAACCTTTGCCGGTTGATTCTTGGCGAGATATATCGTGGTCTCTAAGTTTAGCGTGAACATAGCCCAAGTCACTCATGAGTAAAATTCGTCTAACGTAGCAATCGATAAAGTCTGTTTTGAAATTTAAGTAATGGACCCTTAGACCACAATCCTTGCGCAAATGCGCTAAATTTCACAAAATTTCTTATGGATTCTGAGCACTGTCGTACTGAAACAAATTATTGTGATATAACACAAGTTTATTTATCAAAGTCCTGGCTTCAATGGTTTATAGCCTACAACATTGACAATATATTAAATAAAGAGCTTTGTGATCTACATTCCAGCAAACCTACCTTCATCGCTGTCTGTCCCCGCTGTCGTCAGTGGTATATATTCGTTATTAGCGACAGCATGCTGCTGTGATGTTCTCTTAAAACGAAAAAAAACCTTATTTATTCTGAAGTCTAGTTCGCAACATTATATAACTAAAAAGACCAGAATTTTTTGAATATTATCTTGCAATTATAGGCAATTAGCCACAATAAGGGTTTCCACAATGCAAGGAAATTTCCTTGCGATTGACAACACAAGCGTGAGAGGGATCTCTGTTGATATGATATATGATGCATTCTTTTCAAAAGTTTTTTGTTGCTGTTTTTTTCCAATGTTGCTACCCCCTAAAAGCCATATGCGAATAAGTTGTGGAAACCCTGGCCTAAATTCTGGCACAGTATGTTAGCTTTTGCTGGATTTCCTCCTGCAGAGAAATATTAGCCAGCGAAATATTTGCATATTTTCTTTTGAATTGAGAGCATTTAAATTGAACAAATTTCTTTATTTTGGTAAAATGCCACCAGTTATCTTACTTGAATACACACTGCTTCTTCTATTGCAGGTCAAAGTATCCTCTTCTATTGTTGAGAACAATACGTTGAGAACGCTAACTGGCAGTCCGAGTTCCCAAACGAGGTTTTATTCTGTCGAATTTTTTCATCTTGTATCTTGCATCATATAATCATGTTTACATATCAAAAGAACAATAGATGAATATATGAATATACACCGGCACCACTAATTACGCTTTTAGCTACGGCCTGTGTACAGTTGTCACAGCTTGGGGTGGACCCCCCCGGTCCATATCTATATTTGTACCGGGGATCCGCTAGCGGATATAATAGACCTACGGGGGTCCAATTCGGGGTCCGACTCATATACATAATATTCAACCACCATCACATTGCAAAATGAAGTTTAGTCTTCTAGCTAAACATATAGAAGGCCTCGCGATAGAAATATATTCGCGCTGCAAAGGCTGCTGATTTTAAGGGATTAAAAGTGCGCTCAGACTTTAAAATTTAATGTTTTGAAAGGATATCCTTGATTGAATTAGCTCTATCATTTTCGTCAAGACTACAGATGATATAATTTACGTCTTTTAATCCATTTATTTGTAATTTTTTTCAAATTGTTGTTTTGCATGTGTGCATGTGTGCATATGCGCTCCTTTAGAAGTTGCTTTGAGTTTAATAACATTTTTCGCGTCTAATGATTGCGAATATTATATAGTACATGCAGGGTGTCCCCAAAAAAAACACAACATTCAAATATGCAAGAATATTAGTATTGTTCGGGTTTGCACCATAGTTCAGCTAAAATGACTTTTAGCATTGTAAATGAAGGATTAAGAGCCATTTTCAATTCTCAGAGGTGCTTATCTATAGGGCTTTAGAGCTGTATTAATGTTCTGCATATTTAAGTGGTTACTTTTTTTTGGGACACCCTGTATACCACTTGACAAGGTTGTTCTTCGTAGCACTTCATTGGTCGAGAGCGAATCACGCGGGAGTGACGAAATATTGATGTCGCTCGCTGGACTCCCTGCAGAGTGAGATAAGGCGTTTTTTCCCATTGGGAAATAAAAACTTTAGTCAAGTGCGGCGCACCTGGGCATGCCACCTTTAGACTGGTTCTTCATTTGAAATTATATGTATTCTATGAATAGATATATCGCTGTTCACCGGGTGGAAAATTG